CAGTTTTGCCATGTTTGGGCATCTGATATGTTTTAGGCAAGCAGAAAGAAGATTCAGGTGCAGGCAAAATTAAAGGCAGAGAGGAGGGTTCACTGCAGGGTTCTGTCAGCATTTCATCCTCCTGATGTGCGGTACTGCTGCCAGCCACACAATTGTCTTCCTGCTCATCAATCTTCTCAGACGGGGACCTATAAGGAGAGGGTATGTCTAGCCTGCAGCATTAAGAATTTCGACGTGTTACAGGATGAAGCATGTATTAGAAGAAATTTGGGCGTGGCTAAACAAACACTAATTACACAAAAAAAAGCTTACCTATTTTTCTTTGCTTCTGCATGAGGCTTGTCTGGTGACAGCCCTGGCACAGCACACCTTTTCACAGGCTGTCGCTCTTTTCGGGATGGTTCCTGCATATACCCTGGGTAGCTCGGGAATATTGAAGGTATGACATCTGGTTTTAGTTTGCGCAGCTTCAGGCCTTCTCTGTAATCTTCTGGCTTGAAATGCAAGCTGCATACCTTGCTGCGGTCGCTCGGCTCCCATGGCTGTTTTCCTGGTCCTACAAATATTGTATTTAAGACTGCACCAGAATTATCAGATAGTAGGCAATCGATTAAGAATTAGCCTTTTAGTAACCTTCACAACGTGACAGAAAAGGATCTCTAGTGTATTCACTAGTTGAATCCCTTACCATTTCAATTTACTAGCAGCTGCATCAGTTCAGGGCAGATCCATTTGCGCCTATTTCCCTTAATTTTGTTATAAAACAACGCCAGCGCAAAACAATAGTGTAATAAATAAAACAAATTTCTCAACAAAGCAATACCGCTGTGCATCAGAGCGGAATAGTTGAAAGTAAGTGCTCTATCCCTGACACGGCCACGTGCACGGAGTCTTGCGGCAACAAAGGACAGTACAACAAAGGAAAAATGTAGCATGGGCTGCAGCCCCTTAGCCAGGAAATTTTTTCGTGGCGGGGGGCACGTGCTGAAAACCTTGACTATTTGAGAAAAAACGCCTATTTTTATTATTTATTTTTGTTAAAAACACATAGTTCAACAGAATTACGTGCCCCCTCCCCCCCCCCTTTTCCCTGGCTGAGGGCCTGATGGGCTGTGTACACGATCGGCGTCCACGAATCCCACAAACAGCACTTGTGTTTCTAGATGCCAGCCAACAACGCTGAGCAGCATACATAGCGCGCAAAAAAGTTTTGAACTGCATTCCACTAGTCAGATCTTGCAGTGCATGCAATACAGCACTTTCAGTGCCTTACCTTCAGCCTGTCGAGAGATCTTCAACCACTCCTGTCGAATCTGGGTGACGGGGAACTTGTGAAACGACATCCCAGTTGACCGCCGATCGCTCGACTTGCAAAAAGGAACGCAGCAGTACACCATTGCGGGAATGGTGCTGCTGCTGTCGTTATCTAACGCTCCTGACTGCGCAGACTACTGGTGACAAGCGATAGCGGCGATAGCCTTGGAGTGCCACAAGATCATGCGAACGCACGCACGCACCAAGCTGAACAGCGGCTTGGCGGCTGCAGCAGTGGGGGTTAGTTGTGGCGCCAAGGCGTGCTGCGGCACTTTCGAGAACTAAAAAAAACTAAACAAGCAAAAGCAAAACCGGCGACACGAGGAGCGGCGGCATGAGCAGGTCGTAAGTTTATAGGGGAGGTCGTGCCATGAACTGGCGCTCTTTGGCCATCAAATGGCCCTTGCGCCAAAAAAACACCATATATCATCAGGTCTAAAAATTTTAAATATTGCATTTTCTCAAAATCGACTTTTTGGCCATTTTTCCCCATTCTAAGACCCGCGTCCCCCCTTAACACACTACGCTGAGACCGCCGCCCTTCCAAGTGCCACTGCACGGGATGTAGCGTTCTTCGTCCTCCATTGCTTCATACTATGACATGGTGCACCACGAGAACTTCCAAGTGACCGAGGTCGAGCCTTGCTATCAGAAGTCCTCACGGCTCTTTTTTCTGAATGCCATGTTGTTCATCGCAAGACCACAGCATACCATCCGTAGACTAACGGGCTCACGGAGAGATTTAATCACGCCCTCGGTGATATACTCGCGATGTATGTGACATCTGATCATACTAACTGGGATCGCATTCTTCCATTCATCACGTTCGCATACAACACCGCGGCACAGTATACCACAGGATTTTCACCTTTCTTTCTTCTTTATGGACGCAAACCATCCCAGACCATCGACACTCTCCTTCCATACCGTCCTGACGCATCCGAATGCCTATCTGTGTTCGAAGCTGCTCGAAAAGCGGAAGAGTGCCCATAACTCGCACGCACCTTTACGTCACAAAAACAGCAGTGCCAAAAAGAAAACAACGCTGACTCTTCAGGAAGCCACAGCTATTCCCTGGGATCACTTGTATGGCTGGCGGTTCCTTACCAAACCCCCGGCCTTTCCTCAAAACTTGTCCCGAAGTGCGAGGGCTCTTACCGCGTTTTGGAGCAAACCTCACCGTTGAATTTTCTCATTGAGCCACTTTCCTCATCTGACGACATGCGCCAGCGTGGGCGTGACATCATTCATGTCGCCTGCCTTAAGCCATATCATAGCCCTCTGCCTCCAGACTCTTAGATCGCCAGGATGGCTCTTTTTCGGCAAGGAAAAATTGTGAAGAAGAAAATGCATCGTTGGCAAGCAACATCGCCACCGCTCGGGTACTGGGTTCTGGGCTTCTCTCGCTCACCACGTGCTGATCGTCGCCGGCATCAGCTTGAACGTTGTTCTGTCCTGATAGTGTTTTCATCGTAGGGCCACCGACGCAGCACACGCCAATAAACACCTTTTTAGTTTATTTATTTATACATCTACCTACAGCATCAGATAAGGCTGGCGAGTTCCCAGTTATTTGTTTATTTATTTGGATGGATGGATGGATGGATGCTATGAGCGTCCCCTTTATAACGGGGTGGTGACAAGTATGCCACCAGGCTCGACAAAAAAAAAAAAAAAAAACCCTTTTTTTCTTTTTATGTTGGCCTAATGCCTCTACTTCGATAAATTCTATCTTAATAGAAAAAAAGGTAAATTTTCAGCTTAAGTTCTCTGCCATTTACGGCACACTGTCCATATTTTATTTTTCCAATATTTATTTTTGTCCTTTCTCTCTAATTTTCTGCCACCAATACTCTAACCGTCTCTTACTTATTTCAATCGCGGGTGTGTTCAGCTTTCCATTGTTGTCCCTAAAACCCAAGGCTTCCTGTAGGCTCGTGCCCAAACGTACACCTGGGTGGATATCTCCACATTCAATCAGAACATGCTCCGCCGTTTCCTTATCTTTCCCGCAGCATGTGCATTGTTCTTCTTCTTTACTGAATCTTGCTTTATAACTACGCGTTCTAAGGCAACCCGATCTCGCTTCAAACAGTAAAGCGCTTCCCCTTGAATTATCGTAAAATGCCTCCCTCCTTATTTCATTTTTGCCCTTTCGGTAGTTACTCAAAGCCGGTTTTTTTCTCCATAGCTGCCATCCAGTAAATCCTCTCCGCCTCCCTGACTTTTCCCTTTACGCTCTTTGTTGACATACGGCTTACAATACCAGCCGTATACTTACTAGTGAGTCTTCTAGTTCTTTTTCTCCACTGTGTGTCCACGCTCTTCCTATACAAATAACGGAACACCTTCTCTGCCCATCTACTCTCCTTCATATTTCTTAGCCTTTCTTCGAACCTTATTTTGCTCTGCGCTTCCCTCGCCTCAAAACCTGCCCACCCCATATCGCCCTTTACAGCCTCGTTTGTCGTCTTCCCGTGAGCACCCAACGCGAGGCGTCCCACAGTCCTTTGATTTACATCCATTTGTACATGTACCTACAGCGCCCTCTGGTGTCATTGTTGTAGGGGTGTTTGCAAATGAAAAGTACATACACATCAGTGAAAACAATTTGCAGTGAATAAAACAAAATAAGAACAAATAAAAATAGACAAATCGCAGCATACAATATATGCACAAAATACGGGCTGGACATTTCTGCTTTGTTAAATGAAAAGAAAAACATGAACAGTAGAAAAAAAGTGACATTATGTGACAACATACTCCTTTTAAAGTAGAGGGAACGTTGTGTCAGGGGTGGTCACAATACTTTTCTGGAAGACTATTTCATTCGCGTGACTGCCGCTGAAATACATGTAGAGCTCCATTGCACGGGGAAACGCTAGGTAAGTCTGCTGAACGAGACAAACAGTTAGGCCCAGAGCATGCTCACTGCATAGGCTGCTCGCACCTTGCTGGTTCGTGGTTTGTGGCGCTGTAAGCAGCTGCGATGTGCTTAAGTGTCGGCTGCGCAGACATTGTTTTGCACTTTAAAACAACAAATTTATCAAATAATATGACAATTTTCTCGATGAATTGGATTGAAAATTCAAATTACCCGAAATTTCAGACTTCTACCTTTCATTTAACAAGCATTTTTTTCTGTTAAAAAACATGTAAAACTGATAAGACCCTCACTGAACTTCCAATTAAGTAAGAATTCTAATTAAGCAACTTCAAATTATCGAAAGGCAACTGTAGTTAGACTATTGAGAAGGCAGGGGTGAGGGCGGTTGTGTGCACTGTGCTGAGAAATATGTCTAGTTGTCACAGGTAATTGGCAGTAGTTTGACGACTTCTCAAATTTCCAATGTACTCACTGTTTGGTCTAGTTGGAGGCTTTGGCATTCTTCTTTCATTTCCTGGTGAATTTAAGTTTTGAAGGTTGAAATTTTTTTCCGGGATTTCATGTGGTCCTCTTTTGATGTGCTTCTTAGCAAATTACACTAACTCTAATTTCCAGCAACAAGAGCTTGGTTGGGGTGAGTTTGTTCACGTTGTATGTACATCGCGAAAAATGCCAGAAAGAAGCAGGTGTGCATTGTGAGAAATGGCAGAAAGAAAGCAACAGAAAAGTGCTGTGTTGATACCTCTATTTTCTGCTCCAATCGAGATCAAGCCAAGCAAGCGCTCTTGCTTGGCTTGATCTAGTCCATATTAGACGTCTGTCGCTGTTGTGCACATCGGCGAGCAGCCACAAATGACGCAATATCTCCTAGCGATCTCAAAAACACTTCAGTTCCTTTATGCTGCTGAAAATAGTTCCTTAACGAACTAATGTAGAGATCTCCAGCATCATTTGCCACTGGCGCAGGCCCCATGCTGGCATCTTCGTCATCCTCCGACGTCACCTTCGAAGGAACCTCTAGAACCTCATAAATCAATGTGTCCAATGTGTCCTCCCTGCAGGTTGGCACATCTTCATCGACAGTGACATAACTGCCTATGTCCACGACGAGTCCTTTATTGCCTAGCGAGGCAACGAGGCTCACCTCTTCCTCGTCGTCTTCGCAACTGTTCTGCGTCGAGCACTCGGGCACCACAAAACCAGCATGACGGAATGAATTAATTATAGTCATGTCAGTCACCTGGCTCCAGGCATTTGTGAGGAGGTGAAGGGCTGTCAGCAGGTTTACTGTGTACTGTTTGTCGCTCTCCATGCACAGTGATATTCTCTGCAGAAGAGATCGGCGATAGTGCCTTTTCAGGCTGCTGATCACCCCCTGGTCCATTGGCTGGAGCTTGGCTGTGGTGTTAGCGGGCAAAAACTCCAAGCGAATGGCCTGAAGGTTGGCGACGTGCCCGTGCCCAGGGCAGTTGTCCAACAGGAATATGACGCGTCTTATTTCTTTCTGGAAACGGCGATCCATGTCTCGCAGCCACTCCTCGAAAATCGACCGAGTCATCCAGGATTTTGAGTTGGCCGTGTAGGTCACCGGCAGCGTTTTAGCGTGCTTGAAGCAGCGCGGCGATCTTGATTTGCCGATGATGACCAACAGTTTCACCTTGTCGCTTCCTGACATGTTTGCACCAATGAGTACGGTAACCCTCACCTTGCTGTGCTTTCTCCCTGTGCAGTCGTCGCCAGCGAAAGCGAGCGTCTTCTGTGGAAGCAGCTGGTAAAAGAGGGCTGTCTCGCTGACGTTGTAGATGTCGCCGGGGTCATAATCCTGAAAGATCTCCTTCAGCTTGGTCAGCCTCTAATCGTTGTAGGTCACTTCGTCAACGGCGGCAGCCTCACCGGCAATAGATCGGAACACAAGTCCGTGTCTTTTTCTGAAGCGATCGAGCCATCCGTCACTGCAGGCAAACTCGATGTTCATTCGTTGGGCAATTTCCTCCGCTTTTGCCTTCATAACTACGCCGTTCACAGGCAGATTCACGCTACTAGCACGTTGGCTCCATGCGAGCAGAACATCCTTCAAGCCCTTGTGCGCAGCCGTCCGCATCTTCTTTCGCTTCGGCGCGAAGTCTCCATCGCTCAATGCAGTGGTTACCTGCGCTCTATCCTTCACGATGCCCGTTAGCGTGCTCTTCGCAATCCCGAACTTGCGTGCAATCTCGGTCTTCGTGAGCTTGCCAGCTCTCACTTTGGACAAAATTTCTGCTTTCCTTGAAAGCTCGATTGGCTTTCGTTGTACAGTTGGCTTGCTGGCCATTTTCAATGAGACAAGCGAAGCAAACAAAGCTGTGAGGATTCGAGAAAAACGACGGCGAAGGTGCGGGACAAGGCACGTGCGATTACGAGGCAACTGTGCGCCAATCAGCTGATGACTAGCGGTGGCCCATAGAAGTGGCGTGCCACGATTGGGCCACGTGTGATCATTACGTGGCGGTAAGCTTTGTGGCTGGGGACGAGCCGGAGCAGCGGCAGACCGAAGACAGCGGGCCGAAGCGTCGGACGCAGGCGATCCAGGTTACGGCCAGGGAACGCGGCTGTCCACGCTGCTGCCGTCCAACCACCAGCTGGGGCGGCATTGCCGGCACAAGTACTGCATTTCGGGGCACGGCCTGGCCTGCTGTTCTCTTCCTTGCCGAGGGCATCGCGGATCTCGGCGAGGCGTCTCCATGGTCAGCCGTTCGGCACAGCGATGAACGTGGCCTGGCAAATGGTCACGGTTGCGCCGAGCATCGCGTCTCGACGCAAGCTGTTCGCTGAACGGGCTAGCCATTCCCCGCATGGAGCATCGCGTCTCCGATGCGGGTTGACTTCTCCGTAGCTGCACCCATGCCATCAAGTGCTGGTGTCACCAGAACGTCGCACATCGGCAAGGGACGAGCAAGACGTTCTGCTGGGCGAGGCGCGGGCGTGTGTACGGAGGATCACGGAGCCGGGCGGGGTTCAGGGTGGCCGAGGATCCTGGTGCCAGGGGAGTTCTGGCTGAATCGAGGATCGCCGAGCGGTGCCGAGCCGTACCGAGCGACGCGCCAGACTCGGACGTGGGCCGCGAGCTCATGAGCTGCAGTGTGCACCCGAGGGTACCTGGCGGTGCCCTGGCAAAGAAGAAGGAATGTGGGAAAAAGAGCTCGAGGATTGAGGCCACGAAGGCAGACGAAGCGGTGCGCTGCTCGATAGGACGAGTTCCTGGCAGCGTTCGTGAGCCGGGCGTGGGACCCGTACGTGTCGGCCAGGTCGAACCCCGGTGTGTCTGTTCGAGGTCGAGTCCGTCGGCCTGTACAAGGTCCAAGGACGGGGCCTGCAGAATGGCTCCTGCCTGGGTGCAGTGGCCGGGAGCAGGTTCGTGGGCGAGACCTACCGGGCGTGGTCCTCGTGAGCCGTGGCCTGATCCTGGACCTCCGGAGTTGCGACCCTGACTGCTGGGTTGGCCGCGACGCCCGACTCAACGGTGCTGCACACGGTAGCGTATCCGTGCGCCGTCAGCCGTTCCACCTGTGCCATCAAATAAATTGTTCATCTTAATCCTTTCTCGTCCGCTATAAGCAAACATAGTGACGAACGTCCTTAACCATCACAAAAGTGCATGGAATAGAGAACGTGCAATCGCAGGCTCGGTGCAGAGAAAGAACTTGTTTCTTCGGCGATGGCAGTGGCAGCGAGGGCGAGGTTGGAGAGGGAGAACATCCACGTGGAGAGAGCTGTGGCTGTATGACGCGAGCTCACATGTTCCCGCTGAGAAACGGCATTGGTCATGAGAGCTACTCTCTTCGCGAATAGAGAATCTCGGTCGTCATTTTGTTTTTTTACTTTTTTCCCTGCTTGCTTCTTCACGGCCGATAGCCGATCTCAAAACTCTCTCGCTCTCTCATTTTCTTCTTGTTTGCTTTGCCGCTCCCTCTGCGGGTTGAAGTGCGGGTGATGCCGCGGGCCATTCTTTTGTCGCTGCCTCCCTCCCTCCGCCGTGGCGCGAATTCGCTTCGCACCGTTGCTGCTTTTGTATTTTGTTTCCCTCCGGCTGCGGGAATGCCCCCCCAAGATTGCCATAATTCTTCTGTAGAATCGCCTCAGTCTCCTGGTCTCCGCGAAAGTGTTCGTCTTAACAGAAGAGGAGGTGCAAGGCTGTTCGTCTTAAGCAGATTTTTTTAGGGGCGAAGCTCCTTAGGGCGTGGGCTGTGCGTCCCCTGTAGCCTGTATGTAGCCACCTCTAGTTTAGTTCTTGAAGTGTTCACTAGATGGCGGTACCGTCCCCTGTATGTAGCCACCTCTAGTTTAGTTCTTGCAGTGTTCACTAGATGGCGGTACCGTCTCCTGTATGTAGCCACCTCTCGTTTAGTTCTTGTAGTGTTTACTAGATGGTGGTACTTGTAGCTGATGATGAAAAGATGCAAGATGTTATAAACTAGAAAGCGGTACTTGTAGTTGATGAAAGACGCGAGACCTTATAAAATAGGAATGATGTCACATATGGCGCGTGTCATTGGTTGAAGGCAATCGTTCGATTTAGTGCGGTGACGTACGCTAGGGGAAGCGTTGTAATAAAATCCGTTCGCTGTTGGCGCGCGCTCGGAGTCGCCGGATGGATAAGGCTGCACAGCGGAGAGAGCGCAAGGCGGCAGCAGCGCGCGCTCGCAGACAGAATCTCGATGTGCGAGCGCGCGAGGCAAGGGACATCGCAAGCCATCCATCGTCTAAGAACAAATAAAAGTTGATTTGTGTATATACACACACAGCGTTTCTCACGTCTTTACATGATGATCAACTGGGCGAATTACACGGAAGATTCACAGTTTACCGATGAATCCCTCCGGAGCTTCGCCCATTCATCATCATTCACCCCGTGAATATGCCGTAATTTTTTTTTGCATTAGGTCTATGGAAAACCAAACAAACGTTCTCACGTTGTTTTGCATAAGCGAGAATTCGTCTTAAACTAGTTCGTCCTAACGGGAGTTCACTGTATACCGTATTTACTCGCATAATTTTCGCACTTTTTTTTTCCCTAAAAACTCCTGTAAAACCGGCTGCGGCGGCTGCATTTCCGATGGAGGCAGAAATGTTGTAGGCCCGAGTGCTCAGATTTGGGCGCACGTTAAAGAACCCCAGGTGGTCGAAATTTCCGGAGCCCTTTACTACGGCGTCTCTCATAATCATATGGTGGTTTTGGGACGTTAAACCCCACAAATCAATCAAATCAAAAACTCGTGGAAAGTTGGGGGTGCGATAGTTACGCAGGAAAATTTTCTGCGGAAAAGGTACAGCGCAAAAAAAAAAGAAAATAGAAAACGGGCACAAATTGCAGTTTTTCCACAATAAACTAAAAGCTTCGAAAAGTGCTGATACAAGGCTTACCTTTACAATGAAACTGCATGTTCAACCCAAATCAAGGTTTATTTGCACAGGCTAAAGTCACTAGCTAATAAGTCTCTTCGGCGAACTACTCTGAGCCTGAGTCAAGAGTGCCATCTTCGTCGCTCATAGCAGCGTCATCGGACTCATTGCCAGCTTCAGCGTGGTCTCCTTCGTCGTTTTCGTGGACCACGTCGTCTTCCGTCCCGTCCAAGGCGTTGGAGATCCCACTCTTCTTGAAGCTGCGGACGATAATTTCTGGCGAAATCATGGACCATGCCTCGATTACCTAAGAACAAAGGATCTCCGCCGGTGGCTTCATCTTGCCCCCAGGAGTCATTGCGTGGTCGCCTTCAGCCATCCATTTCGAATACAGCCTCCGAACATTATTCTTGAACGGCTTGTTCAAAGAAATGTCTAGAGGCTGCAACATCGAAGTCAGACCGCCTGGAATGACAGCGAGGTCAGTCCACAGCTCCTTCAGATTCGCCCGAACGGAGTCGACCAGGTGACCGCAGAAGCTGTCGACAACCAGCAGCGACGGGTAAAGAAGTGTTCCAGGGCGGCGTCCCCAAACAGTTTTTACCCAATCGACCCTAAGGTCAGCAATCATCCACCCTTTCTCCTGTACACGCACGTGTATTCCAGGGGGAGACTTGGCCTTTGGGAGGGTCTTCCGCTTAAAAATAATAAATGGGGGCAGCTTCCACCCGTCCGCTGTTAAAGCGAGCACGACGTTGCACCTCTGCTTCTCGGCATCCGTCGTTCTAATATGCACACTCCGCACACTCTTCTCCTCCACAGTTGTGCTTGGTGGCATGTCGAAGTTGAGCGGAGTTTGATCCACGTTTCCAATTTGTGAGAGCAGGAAGTTCTTTTGCTCCAGAATCCTAATCGCAAATCGATGAAACTCGATGACCTTATTATCGTACGCCGAAGGTAGTTGTTGACAAAGAGTCGTCCGTCTCTCGAGCGAGAGTCCACTTCGGCGCATGAACCGTGTGGCCCAACTGTTGCTCCACGAGAATTTCGCGCCGGGATGCCTTCTTTCTGGGCAATTATACGCGCCTGATTTCTCAGCAGCTCGACCGAAACGGCACACCCGTCCGTGTGTACTCTTAATGTATTCGAGTAGTGCCGCCTCAACCTGCGGGTATCTTCCAGTCTTAGGCCCACGGAAGGCCTTGCGTGACTTGTTTGTGGCTTTAAGGTGTTCTTGCTGCCGTCGCCAGTAGCGCACACAGAACTCGCCGCTTAGGCGAGTTCTGTCTTAGGCCC